CTCTCAGGATCTTGGGCACGCATGCACATGTGCCCGGCCTGAGCTTAAGCCACCAGTCCTGGACTCGAACCGTGGTCGACTACATGGAAGCCCAGCAACATAGCCATTACACCATCTGCTGGTCTCCCACATGTTTTTTTTTTTTAAGGTTTTTGCCACAGGACACGTGTACTCGCTGGAAAGAGAGTGAGAGAAAAAGTGAGAAATTACCCCCCAGGGGAGATGGCCATGCAGTAATCCCTTCTCCATTTTCCTCCTGGGATCTTGGGCACACATTCACGGCATGATTTTTCAAGCCGCCAGGTCCGGGACTTGAACTGTAGTCAGCCAAGTGGGAGTCCAGTGCCTTACCTACCACACCACCTGCTGGCCCCAGGACAATCACTGTTATCAACAAATCTACTACAAGTTCAATGAGAGATGCAGTTTTACACGAGTGTAGCTGCTATCACTGGTGTTGGTTGCTTTTATATTTTGAGGATATATCATATGACAATTTGATAAACTGGGAAGTCATGTCCAGGGCTTGCATTCTAAGATTTCATAGCAGTTCAGCTTTCTAAAGCCTATTTTTCCTTTTCTCGCTTTCTGTCTCTCTCTCTCTCTCTTTCTGGCAAGCACACATGCTCTATGGCAAAAACCTCTCAAAAAAAAAAAAGAAAAGAAAAGAAAGCAATATAACATCTATACACATTCAATCTCATTTTATCTCAAAATAACTGAGACAGGCAAGGACAGAAAGAAGGAAAAGATCATTTTCTGTCTAAGTGCCAGGCATTTAACTCTCTCTAAGGCTGGCACTGTCAGCTTCCTACATTAACGAGGATACTCCGAGGATCGGAGATTCAGTCCTGGTGTGGGCTGAGGGGGTTACTGGGCTAGGCAGTGTCAGGGCTGGGACCCCGCCCTTAGACCTGCTGCATCCTGAAACATGTGTTCTTTCTGGAATGACCTCTCTGCTTCCAATGTCCAACAACTTCATGATGAGGGCACGGCAAGCACTGATACCCCCCATTCTGCAGATGAATTACCCAGGTTCAGAAACATACGATCAGCTCCCGAGTTCATACAAACAACTAACAAGTGACAGGAATAAATACAGCCCCAGGGTTCTAATTTTACATTCTTTACTCTTCCCATCAAGCTATATATTTTGTAAATTTAGAAAACAAAAACACTTGGAAAGAAAATAAGTAAAAAGATGTATATGTGTGTGTGTGTGTGTGTGTGTGTGTGTGTGTGTTTATGCCATAGGGTGCGTGTGCTTCCTATAGAGGGGGAGACAAAAATGAAAAATCACTGGGGCCAGCAGATAACGTAATGGTTACGTCACTGGACTCCCACATAGTCGACCAGGGTTTGAGGCCTGGATCCAGCCACTTAAACTCATGCCAGGCATGTGTGCGTGCAAGCCCAAGATCCCGAGAGGAGAATGGAGAAGGGATTGCGGCATGGCCATCCCCCCAGGGGGTTATTTCTTGCTTTCTATCCATTTCTCTGTGTTTCCAGTGAACACATGTGCCCTATAGCAAAAAAGAAACTCTCTAAAAGAAAATAAATAAATAAATAAATAAATAAATAAATAAATAAATAAATAGCAACGAAGAAATCACTCCCCCTAACCAGACGGATGGACATGCTGCAACCCCTTCTCTCCCATTCTCCTCTTGTGATTTTGGGCACACATGCACACATGCCTGGTGTGATTTTCAAGCTGCCTTGTCCGGGACACTAACCACACAATCAGTCATATGGGATCTAGCACCTTAACCACCATGCCAGCTGCTGGCCCTAAAATGGGTATTCACAACTTTTTAAATTGCATTTATTTGCTCAATTATGAGCTTACCTAGTTATTTAACTTAGAAATGAGAAATTCATCTTTACAGATATAAAATTATTTCAGTAAGTCTATCGTTTCCAGACTTGTTTTTTTAAAAAATACTTATTTCTTCTATGAGAGACAGAAACGGAAACACAGAGAAGAAGGTACCCTCAGCAGGGTCTCCCCGCAGGACCCACCCTTGGCCTCAGCCATCCCAGACTACGAGCACACACAAGCATAGGGAGGCCTTGGGCCACAATCCTGGAACCTTCCTATGTGGCCCTCTTTGTCTAAACTTGTTTTTCATTGCCAGAGGGCACAAGCACTCAGCAGAGAGAGACAAAGAAAGGAGGAATAAACAAAGCAGCCTAATGGGGCATGGTCACACCACAGTCCCTTTTCCATCCCAGGATTTGGGGTACGCGCACACATGCACATGCCTGCCATGGATTCTGAACTGTGGTGGGCCATGTGGGGTCCAGCTCTCAAAGCACAGTGCTGAACCACTGTGCTACAGCGTCAGCCCTGTTTCTGGACTTTTTATTGGGTCAGCCAGGTGGCATAGAGGCATGGTGGCTAAGGCAGCTGGACCCTACATGGCCACTTGGGTGGTTTGAGTCCTGGCTCTGGTAGCTTGAAAAATATGCCAAGCACATGTGCATGGCTGCGTAAAAATCCCAAGAGGAAAATGGAGGGAAAAAAAGGGATTGGGGTGTGGTCAACCCCCTTGTGGGGATGCCTTCTCTCTTTCTCTTTCTCTCTCTTGCTCTTTCTTTCTCTCTCTGGTGAGTACACACAGCCTATAGCAAAATTTTTAAAAATTTTATTACAGTAAAAATGACATACAGTGAAGTGCACTGTACACATCTTAAGAGTATAGTGTAATTAATTTTCACATATGCATATATCCATGTAGCCACCACCCAGACAAAATGTTTCTGGACATTTACGGAGCTACACTATTAAATTTTAAGTCCAGGTACAAGCCAAGAGTCTTGACAACCCATGTACACCAAGAGATTTAAAAGAAAATGTTAAAAGAATTATTCAATTTTAATGTATTTAATTTTCAATTTGCTATAGGGCACATGCACTCACCAGAGAGGGAGGGAAGGAGGGAGAGAGGGAGAGGAAAAGGAGAGAGAGAAAAAGAGAGAGAAAGAGAGAAAGCAAGCCACTAGGTCTGGGACTCAAACCATAATTGGCCATGTGGGAGTCCAGTGCCTCAACCACCATGCCACCTGCTAGCCTCCCAAAAAAGAGAATTTTATGACACAAACTGAATGAACTAAGATTATATAAATGTCTAATTTTTTTTCAGTAACTTTTGCTATAGAGAGTGTGCACTCACCAGAGAGGCAGAGAGATGAAAGACAGAAATCACTTCCCGGGGAAGATGGCCACTCTGCAATCCCTTCTCCTCCATTCTCCTCTCGGGATCTTGGGCACACACGTACGTGCGCCTAGCGTGAGTTTTAAGCCACTGGGTCCGGGAAGTGAAACACGGTCGACTACATGGGAGTTCAGCGACATAGCCATTATGCCACCTGCTAGTTCTGTCCTGCATTTATTCAATGAACACTTACTGAGCACTCGCTGTGACGGGGGTAGCAGTAGGACAGACATAATTCAATCTGTCTTGTATTCCTAGTACTTCTGACAATGAATATGTATTTTTGCTTTTTTTAATTTTTCATTCCTTCACATCGATCAACTCTTCAACTCTCCAGACACCAAGTAGATGCCCCAAAAATCAATTCTGGCACTATATTCCTGAACTTAAGAGTTCCCAGGCCAGCAGGAGGGATGGAAGTTAAGGTGACTGAATCCCACATCGCTGTGCAGTTCAAGTCCCAGACCTTGTGGCTTGAAAATCATACCAGGTACATGTTTGCCTAAAATCACAAGAGGAAAATGGAGGGGAAGGGACTAAAGCATGGCCATCCCCCCCGAAGGGTGTTCTCTCTCTCTCTCTCTGGCAATCGCATGTGCCCTATAGCAGAAACTGAAAAAAAAAAAAAGTTAGTTCCCAAGGCTAAGAGCTCAGCTCCACAAC